ATTCAATGATTTACTATCTCAGTTTATAAAATAAGATCAATAATTTTATTATATAAAAAGTGCTATAAAATAATTAATTTATTTTATAGACTGACTATAGTAAAGCATTGAATAAAATTTGATATTATGAATGGGCCCTAAATACCCTTCAGGATCTGCTAGTACTGGTATCATAAGCGAATCCAAATTTCCTTCAATACTGCTTGGGTTATTTTTTTGAGAAAACTTTGTAAACTGGATCCCTCCATCACTAAGAAAAGTAAACCATGTAACCTTCATTTGACTATGTTCACCACCACTCAGAGCAAAAAGAAGACAACACCACATAAACACCTGATATTGGAGTCCCTTGGCTGTATTAATCGACAATGCTTCATGATTAAATATTGTCTTTAATTCATCAGGTGACAATGGATCATGGTGCTTGGTAGTCTTTTTAGATTGTTTTAGAACCTTCATTTTACTATTAAGAGCTTCTCACAATAAAAGAAATTTATTTTTATTATTAATTATGAATTACTCACTACCACCTGGGTGTTTGTAAATGTAATTGCTTAGACAATTATGAGAATTAATTAATGAAGGTGTATAATCGCTTCTATTGTCGTCTCAGAAATCGGCAAGTCTGTCACTAAACTAAGTCAACTCTCGTATAACCTATGGTGGCTGAGTCAAAACAGGCATATTAGATTTGGCAAGTAGATTATTGTCCGTAGGTAAGTACTGGTCTCCTCTTTGTATCTTTCATTAAACCTATTCTTATTCTAATTCTTATCTTCCTTTATGTCTCAACCCAGGATTTCACTACGTCGAATCAAGGTTGAAACTCTTCTCAGTACGTTTCGGTCTACGAGGCACGTGACTATGGCAAGCAATTAATTACGGTTGTTCTGGTATCTTGGGCAGGCGGGTATTGATAGTAACGGGGTTTAACAATAGTTACTAGTTTGTATAAGGCAACACTTTCACTTGTATGATGGGTCAGGTAGTTAGTTTAGTTAGGGTATGATGAAAGTATTGATTCAAGAGATATTGAGCTTTCTTGGGGAATATATAGAATCTTATAAATTGGATTGTGAGTGATTGATATACCAAGATGATTAAAAAGCTTAAGAATTTTAAAGTTGGTTAAGTTTTTGT